GTTAAACTCTCTGGTAAACTACGGACATGATTATAGAGACAAAGGGGAGACTACGGAAGGAGCTACAAACTACGGGAGGGCTGCGAACGTACGTGGCTACAGACTACGAGAAAATTACGGACATGGGGAAACTCTTAAGAAAGGGGAGTACGAACTACGAGAAGATTGCGGACGGAGTTACAAACAAGGGAAGGTTAACGGAGACGGGGCAACTGACTACGCATGTAGCCTACCAGGCTGGTAGGCTACATACTACGATGAGACTACCAGACGGACAGGCTACAGTCTGAGGGGGAAGGAGGCAGAAAGAGAGAGAAAGAGAAAGAGAGAGAAAGAGAAAGAGAGAGAAAGAGAAAGAGAGAGAAAGAGAAAGAGAGAGAGAAAGAGAGAGAGAGAGGGGCAGGCAGGCAGGTCACCCCCAGCGTGCCTTAGACCAGGACTCGGAGAACGCTCGTGGCCGGGGGTGAGGTGAGTCACTGTTGTTGTCTGGTTCCTGGAAGGGGGATGGGATGGGGTGGGGTGTCTGGTACCTAGAGGGGGGGAGGGGGTCTGGTTGGTTAGAGGGGGGGGAAGGATAGTAGTTGTAGAAAGTAGTAGTGGATAGGTGTCCTAGGGTCTGAAGGAGAGGAAAATGGTTATCGGGAAAGAAAAGGTGTTTATTATGTTTGGGTGAAAGAGCCTGGGATATGTTGATTAAATGATACGAAATAATAATAGTCATAATGATAATGGTAATAAAGATAATACTGATGATAGGGGTATGGAAGGAGGAAGAGAATATTGTGTTATCACAGCTAATATTGCTATTTCTTCTTCATGAGAATTAATTTTTTTCAGACATTCTTCCTTAAGACTGAATATCATGTTTGAGGAAGTGAATAAGATAATGGAAAACGGTTCTGAATTTGGATACACCAGGTCTTAGGTAAAAAAAAATGTATATAATCTAACTCAGGAGGTAGAATGTCTTCGAAGCGAGGTAGGGGGTCGCGAGTTGGCGGGAGTCCGGGTTTTTGCTAAATTATTATTCTCTCTCTCTCTCTCTCTCTTTCTCTCTATCTCTCTCTCTCTTTCTCTCTCGTTTTAGTTACCTCCGTGTATCCCCTTTCTCTCTCTCTCTCTCTCTCTCTCTCTCTCTCTCTCTCTCTCTCTCTCTCTCTCTCTCTCTCTCTCTCTCTCTCTCTCTCTCTCTCTCTCTCGTTTTGTTTACCTCCGTGTATTCCCTTTCTCTCTCTCTCTCTCTCTCTCTCTCTCTCTCTCTCTCTCTCTCTCTCTCTCTCTCTCTCTCTCTCTCTCTCTCTCTATTTACCTCCGTGTATCCCCTTTCTCTCCCCCCCTCTCTCCCTCTCTCCCTCTCTCTCTCTCTCTCTCTCTCTCTCTCTCTCTCTATATATATATATATATGTATATATATATATATATTTACCTCCGTGTATCCCCTTTCTCTCCCCCCCCCCCTCTCTCTCTCTCTCTCTCTCTCTCTCTCTCTCTCTCTCTCTCTCTCTCTCTCTCTCTCTCTCTCTCTCTCTCTCTCTCTCTCTCTCTCTCTCTCTCGGCGTGTTTCAGTGTTGCTAATGTAATGATGCTTCATTAACTGATGTGAGAACATTCCTTCTTTTATTGCGTTTGAACATTTTTATTGCGGTGGTATCCCTGTAATTTCAGAGCAGGCTAGTGCCATATTATTTTAAGTCGCACGCCTCATTATATTTTAGGATCGAAGTTTTCAACTTGTAAATTTAACTCCTAAATTGGACTTATGGCACCATCAATGTTGCTTTTTCATAGAGGCGATTCGCCCTTGCAAGAATGGGGGAGTTTCGACCAAAGCAAAAAGGCCAGAGGGTCAGACGTATTACCCCTCACAAAGTTGGCCTTTTAAAGTACCGTAAAGCCATAATTAATGACACTACGGGTACGGCGGTTGGATAGTTTACTGGGGCGTAATTAGGTTGTTTGAGAGTTGACGATCATTTCCTGGTTGGGAGTTAAAGCCATTTTCGATTTGTGTTGCCCCCCCCCCCCTTTTTTTTACGTCTAGTTCCTTCCTGGGAAAGAGTTGGGGCACGGGGATCGATCCTAAATTGGGCGCTCTCTCCTTCCCCCTTCTCTACCCCCCCTCCCCCCCTCTCCTTATAAAAGCCGTAATTGGAGAAAGTCTTTCGCTATAATTTTCCATCAAGTCGAGCGCGACACAACGAGCGCAAATAAAAGCATGTGTATGGTGCCATAAAGCTTTGGTCGTGTCCCGTTGACGACCGGCCCGGGCGGAGCTCGACGACCAGAAAATGGCCTAACGACGCCCCTACCTCACTCCCTCCTTCACTCGCTCGACCACCCTTTTCTCCTTCCCTCCCTCCCTCCCTCCCTCCATCCATCCATCCATCCACCATCCTTTTCCCCCTTCCTCCCTCGCACCATTTTTTTCTCCCTCCTTCCACCATTCTTCCTTCCTTTCCTCCCGTCACCATCCTTTTCTCCTTCCTTCCCATCATTTTTCCCTCCCTCCCTCCCTCCCTCTCCCCCTTCCTTTCCCCCTCCATCCCATTCCCGCCTTGATTTATACACGGGTGTAATTGGTCCCCGCACTCTACCGCCACGTGCATGATCGGCGACGCTCATTGACGGGCGCTTAACGAGAGGTGGAGCAAGTTTTTGGCCCTTGATTGCAAGTTGCATTCGAATGGCTTGCTTTGCAAAGGCGGGCTCGGGTCTTTCCGCTTCTCGGCTTCGGTCTCGGCTTTACCCCTTCGGACGCGTGGTCGGCCTAGTTTATGGGCGTTATATTATGCATGCTTTAATGTGCTTTGTGCCGTATTTCAGTTTTGTGTGACTTGTGACATGATCATCCGAAGCCGAGAGACTCCGCCTTGCCCACTTTCCCAGACGCGACTGCCTTAACTCTATGCTAATTAGTCAGATTGTCCCCATAAAAGCGCGGCCGAGGAGGACACGCCCTCGTCTCGTCAGATTATTTGATAAATTCCATCTCGAAAATGACTACAGCTTGTGTGTGTCTCTGTCTGTGTTTGTGTGTGTGAGTGAGAGACGCTCGCGGGGGGAGATTTATGAATGGGAGTTGTAATTGTGAGCGTAGCGGAGGAGTCTCGTAAGAATGAGCGTCGCTGTCCGTGGCTGGACGGAGATTTACGCTGGGACTCGAGTTATGGTTGTCACTTGCGAGCTTTATTGTGCGATGGGAATGGCGGAGGGAATTGGGCTGCGTGGTGAGGTCTCTGTCGCATCCTGTGGCAGCGGGAGACTTGAGTTAGCGTAGGGTTGTTGCAAGCCTTAAAAGGGGAATCAGACATGGCGGCGGGAACCACGCGTAACTTAGCTGGCAGCACATCGTAGGGGCGAGACACTATCGGCGGGCGTGGTTCCAAAGTGACAGTGGAAGGGGAGAGATCCACGCGATGGCTCCGGAAAGTGACATATAAGGCACTTAAGTGACCGTGCAACGTTGCAACGGTGGGGTAGGGGGGGGACCACTCGTCTGGCCGGTCCGACGACGGCGCGGCGATGAGCAAAGAGGAAGCCGCTGCCGGTGCTGTGGCCTCTGGAAGAAGCTGCGTGTGAAGCAAGCAAGCAACTTCGTCTCGCCTCGCCGCCATGACAGAAGAACCTTGGCGTAAAATTGGCAAAACCCAGTGTGCAACCTGCGCAAAAACCGGGCCCGTTGCACAGCGGTCGGAAGGGAGAAGGTGAGAGGAGGAGGAGGGGGGCGAGAGGGAGGAAAGAGAGGGTAAAGGGTAGAGCGAGAGGAAACAAAAGCTCAGTTCGCAACCTTCTTTGGCCACCCACCTACACCCCCACGCCCCCACCCACCCCACCTCCACACCCGCCCCACTCCCTCCACATCCACCCACCTCACCTCCACACCCACCTCCACCCCACTCCACCTCCACCCCAACCCAAAATACCCGTCCTAATATGCAGCTCAGCACGCAATGTAGACGTGTTCATAGCCCTCCAATGAAATGATATATGGCCACGACCCCCGCCCGCACCGCAACCACCGATCTCGGGCGTCCATATCGGGCAGCGGCGAGGCGAGCTCTTTGAGTGTGAGGAGCGGCGCCCGAGGGGGGTTAGGGCGGCGGGGGGTGGGGGTGGTAAGGGACAGGGTGGGGGAGGAAGGGGATTGGGTGGGGTGGAAGGGGACAGAGTGGAGGAGGAAGAGAACAGGGTGGGGGAGGAAGGGGACAGGGTGGGGGAGGAAGGGGAGGTGGGGTGGAAGGGGACAGGATGGGGGAAGAGGGCAGGGTGGGGGAGGAAGGGGATTGGGTGGGGTGGAAGGGGGCAGGGTGGGGTGGAAGGGGAAGTTGGGGGGGGGGAAGGGGAGGAAGGGGATAGGGTGGGGTGGAAGGGGAGGTTGGGGGAAAGGGGACAGGGTGGGGGAGGAAGGAGAGGTTGGGGGAAGGGGGATAGGGTGGGGGAGTTAGGGAGAAGCGTCTGGGGAGGTGGGGGGGAAAGGGGAGAAGGTGAGGGAGTTGGGGAGAAGCGTCGGGGGAGGTGGGGGAGTAGGCAGGGTTGGGGTGGAAGGGCGAGACGCGTTGGGGGAGGGGAGGGAACGAGAAGAAGGTAGGGGGGGAGAGTTGGAGAGAAGCGTCGGGGAAGGTGGGGAGGGGGGAGGAATAGGCAAGGTAGGGACAAGGGCCATGGGGGCGTCGGAGGAGGTTGGGGAGGTGAGGGGGGAAGGGGCAGGGAGCGTCGGGGAAGGTCTTTTACGAGTCGTGGTGGGTGGTGGCGCTGGTGTGGGTGGGCAAGGAGCTGTGGGTGGGGTTGGGGAGGTGCGTGTGTGTGGGGGGGGGGGTGTAGTAAGCTGTGGGCGCTGAAAAGTTCTGCCAGGCTAAGTCGGTGGGTTGGTGGGTGGGCGTGCAGGTTATAGATAAGGCTATAGAGCGGAGAGCTGGTTGAATGGGCGTGAAATTCACTATTAGATTAAAGACTAAAGAAATATCATCATCTTCACAATCACATGTTTTTTGTTTTATAGC